GGACAGCGTGGTGTTTTTGTTTGCCGTGGGGTCGATCACGACACGTGGATGCCGTGTCATTAAGGCCGGCTTGACCTTGAGACCTGTCACAGCCCCTGACGTTAACTGAACACATCCAATACGCGACACAACGGTGCTGTTCATATTTATTATTCGTAACACTATAAATTATTATTGTTTTACACAAGTAAGCCTTTTAGTGTTTATTTATTAGGATAAAAATTCATTGTTTGCGATGTTTCACAAACAACTAAAATTATTAAAAAAAAGTTGAACACGTAAAAAAAATATGTACGTACGAAGACGTAACAAGTTATACTTCTTAAGCGTAACAAAATAAAAATAGCTAAAAACTTTATCCACTGTGCCATTCTTTGTGAACACGACATTTAACATATGCAATTGATAATGGTTTTATGAAATAACTTGAAATTGTAAGTTAGTGTGAAAAAAGTGTTATTGTTTGCCATTATATATAATACCGTGAAGTTAGTCGCTTTGCAACCAACTTAATCATGTCGCTTTTACTCTCATATTTTTTTTTTAAATGCGGCGAAAAAATTTTAAAAAAGAATTTGAACACTTATGATTTTACAGCGTTTTCAAAAATAAGAACAAAATTCAAAACAACATTTACTTACTAAAATCTGTCACTAACTTAAGAACTGTCTAAATAAACATACAAAAAGACAAAATGAGATTTTCCTGTTATAAAAGTGAATCGACACCACATGTTGAAACATCGTTATCACCATGGTGAGGCCACTCACAACAGACACTGACATTGATGAACAAATTTTCCCTACTACCAATCATAACATATAGAATAAAGCAGACATATTATTGTGAAATAACATTTTGTGCAAACAAAAGTAGCATTTCTATTTTCTGAGCTTTGTAAGGAATTTTGATCAGATATATTAAAGAGCTATTAAGACTATAACCTAACAATAATATTAGCAATAAAAGGCTTAAGTTCTTATGTATGTATTTTCTTATAAAATATACTGATTGAAGATATTTAGCTGAGAAAATGATTTGATTTTAATTATACTACTACAATAATTACAGGTCTAAATATGCAACAACAGGACAAAGGCTAGAAAAATCCAGTCAAGATTTCTAAAAGTAAAGTCTGGAATAAGATTAATCAAACGTCGATTCGTAATAAGTATATAAAAATTTTTACACTTTTCAGAAAACTTGGAAGAGGAAATCAAAGCTGCTGAATCAAACTCGGTGTGTCGACAAGTGTGCCACAACTTTGTTCGACGAAGGATCGTCTTAATCGGAGGCACAGGAGCCACCAACATTAACTGTTTTTACACTAACTTATCTCTATTTTGGTACTAAATTATGTCATGACGCACTGTCCTAACAGTAAAGATCACTTATTTCTATTTAACTAGTAAGCATGTTCTGATTACAGTTGAAGTGTAACGATAAGGTCTAATGATAACTAGCAAGTGTTATGATATACCTTACGCACAGACCTAGATTTATCATGAAGATGCTTTTTAAGGTATTTTTTTTTATGTGAAAGTTGCCAAACGAGCAGACGGTTCACCTGATGGTAAGTGAATACCGCCGCCCATGGACATCTGCTACACCCGAGTGTTACAGATGCGTTGACAACCTTTTGAAAATTGGGCTCCGGCTACCTCACTCACCAGACGAAACGCGAAAGTATTTTTCATACTTCCACTTAACGCTGATCTTCTGTGAGGTCGTGGTACTTACCCGGACGGGCCTGCCCATTCGTGCAACAGCTGAGGCCGCAGCGTGGCCCTACCACCGTTAGGTATGGTTAGACGGTTCACCTGATGTTAAATAATAACATCTGAGGCGTATTTATCGTAACAGATCAATATAACAGGTATCTCGAGATAACAGACTGTAAATGTTACGAACAAACTTAAATAACAGTTTCTGTTCCACACACATTGCTCCTTTAAACGCTTTGACAAGCTTTTCTTTATTCATGCTTACGACTGTTACCTTAGTTAGAAAGAGATAAAAACAGTTACACCTTGTCAGTTGTTATTGAACTATTTATTGAACTACACTGTTACTGTTACAAGCTCTTTCTTTTTCTTGCATCGGTCGTATAGCATTGTTAGAAAGAGGAGTACGGACGTTACCACAGAGTAGCATACTGTGTACAGCATACCACAGAGTACATGTTACTATGGTAACTGTTACACAAATTGTCACAATATAGTATGAAATAACAGGCTGTTATTTTGTAACAGGTATTTGTCATGTTACTTTTAAGGAACAGGAACAGGCGTAGCAGGTACTTGATTTAACCTAGTACCCATATACGGGTCCCGGGTAACCCACTCACCAAACGAGACACTTCTGCTTCACGTTGGTCTTCTTTGAGGGCTAGTAGGTATTTTCCCGGACGAGTCTGCCAAGTTTAAACATGTTTTGTGACAATTTGCCTGACATCTGGTCACAGCAGTGCTTTTTTTCAAAGCGTTAGAACTAGAAAAAACGCCAATGCTTTTCATCTTCTTTACCTACTTACATAAATATTCACAAGCTTCATCACCGTTCTGCCATTCACGACTGTAAAATTTACCTATATGAAAAACCACAAACACTGCGATGACGTAAATCACACAGTAAATATAACAATTAAAAAAATATCCTTTACCGAGCGTGCAACAATATTTATATCGTTTTTCCTTTTGCGCATAGACTGCGTTTAACTATTTTCAAATTAATTTCCTTTCAACTTGACACCTCGGCCTGATGCTAATGAATATATAATAAACTGAAAATGATTTAGTTGCAATGCAACACAATTATGTACCTTTTTAAATTATATATATATAGATAGAAAAGAATGTGCGCATAACATAAATATAAAGTCAGAATAACAAGTAAGCATGATCGGCCGAAAACTACTACAATAGTCAAATGAATTTCAGAATTACAAAACGACGATATCTATTGTATTCAAATACAGGGCATTAATTATTTAAAGATCCTTAAAAGAAAGAAATTATTTAGTGTACCAGTAAGTCAAATATTTGACACAATTATATTAATTATATAAAAATAAAATATATTAAATAAAATCAATTACTTATAAATATTTAAGGCTCAGGGAGTCTAATTCCGTTATTAGTCAAAATAATTAGCTTTGGAAATAAGATATTTCAAAGCATGAGTGAATGTTTACTGCGCCAGACCGTATAATGTCTAATTATGACTTTTTTATGTGAGACGGTGGCAGGGGACTAGCGGTTCACCCGATGTTAAGTGGTAACCGCCGCCCAGGGAAATTTAAAACAGCCGTAGGGTTGCAGATGAGTTGCCACCTTATAATGAAGTGGGCCCCTGCTCCCCACTCACCAAACGAAACGCAGAAGTATGACAATTTCACTTGACGCCGGTCTTCTGTGAGGTCGTGGTACTTACCGGAACGGACCTGCCCATTCGTGCAACAGCGGAAGCTGTAGAGGCCCTACCACGGTTAAAAATACGTCACTACTAACCATCTAGCGGTGTAGTCTAACACCACCTATATGTAGCTTTTGTATGCGTATAGTAATTTACTGCAAATACCGCATCTTTAAAATGTTCACGAATTGTCTGTAGTACAACTTGTCACCGAGTTTCATTCGGGTGAATGTATTTTCGAATACATGAATTTTAATTAGATCGGACTTAAGCAAGCATTATACGGGATGGCTTTTCTAAGTGTATCCATTTTTTTTTAAATTCTAGACATAAATAATGTTATATAAACAATGATAAATATTTAAAATCACTCGTAACTAATTAAATTACATTCATTTGAACTTATCTCAAAAAGTGCGTGATTTATACGCAACTCATTTATTTTACGCGCGATCATTCATAACTAACACGCACACAAGTTCGTGGACAATTTAGGTATGTATGAATGACTACCGCAACACGTTCTGTTTTTTGGAAAAAAGCTTTGTTTTTTATTTCAATAAAAGATTATACTACCGAGTCTGAACCTCCTGTGGTAGTGTTTTGACTATCAATAAGTGAGTGTAATGCTCCTATGTTGAATAAATACATTTGATTTTGATTTTGATTTAGTGTTAATTTGGGCATTTCTAAAAAAAATCTCCCTGTATAACAAGAGTTATATAAGGAACATTTTGTTCCAAAGACTAATAAGATAATAAGGACGGGTCGTAATGGACGCGGCTTCATTTTGAACATTATCTATAATTGAAATTTTTCCCATTATTTTACATTCCTCTCCTAAGCAATTGATTAGCCAGTAAGACTAAAATGATCTAACTTCATGTTTACTGCTCAAACATGTGATATTTTTGCCATATTTATCCCTGAACCTAACTAAGCGTATTGTTACACTCTTTCTTTTTCATCTATTGTGACATAAAACAAACAATTTACAAACGTTTTGAAAAATAGGTTAAGTTTTTGAATAATATAGGTTCTAGATTAGGAAATATAATTTTTCAAGATGTCCTCATAATAAAAATTAATAAGATAAAATATAAAGAATAAGTCGTTTCCCAGCCTAATTCACACATTAAGATTGAGAGTTTTTATCTGACCTCTTTTTAAAATTGTTGTGAAATTATAAGGACAAATCACTATTTATAAATTTACAGTTATATAAATCTAGCACTCTATGAATCGGTGTCTGCTGCCCAGCATTTGTTCTACACTTTTGCAAGACCATGTCTGATGTTTGAGAATGACTATTGATGGTGTTTGGAATATGCATGGTAATAAGTTTTTGTCATTTCATCCATGATGAAGCTTCGGTTACAAAGTGCAAATCCGGTATGAAGGTCTTTGATTTTCCAAAAGCATGAACCTTGTAGGACACTTGCATTGACAATATTGATGACACTTGGCTTGAGAGTGCTGAATACCTTGTAAAGCAGTGTCAAAACTATTTCCATGTGTCCATTTAATTTAGAAGACAGACAGAAATTTAATGAAGAAGGAATTAATGATGGATTTTTATTACTCACTTCTCTCGATCGCATCAGATAACGCACGAGACGGCCTCGTAGTACAGCGAGCGTGTTTTTGTCCAATTCAATGTTGCCACCAGCCACCGATTGCACCAAAACCTGCCATCGAGATAGCGAGTTCTCCAACAAACGTATATCCTTTTTCTCCACTCTGTGCACAAAAGCATTTTCATCATTCCAGAGAAGTCAAATATTTCTTACTATGAATTCTACATAAACTCTACTGTTCATTTAATCCAAGTGCAGTTTCAAATTGAATTGTATATCATTTATTGTAGGATAATAGTAGCAAAAAAAATATTTCATCTATGGTAAAATTTCTTTTTTTGCTGGCAAATGAGCTGCCGGTTCACCTGATGTTAAGTGATACGGTTATCACGCCCACGGACATTTGCAGCACCAGTTGCAGACGTGCTGCCAGCTTTAATAATAAGGGCCCCGGCTACATCACTCCAGACATAACGCAGAAGTGTGACACTTCTACTTTACGCTGGTCTTCTGTGAGGTTATGGTACTAACCCAGATGGACCTGCCCATTCATGCAACAGCGAATACAGATGCCTGGCCCTACCTCAGTTAAAACGAGTCCAAATAACAATGAGGATTATAAAGCAATGTTTAATAATTTTCATGATTAAAATATACATGTGATTAATGATTAAGACAACTTTTTAGGGGCTTATTGAAAAAGCAGTGTCTTTCAGACTTTTAGAAAGCATGGAAATATAAGACAAAATTATAAATTACAAAATATTTATAACCTGTTAGTTTCCCTAACAGGTGACAACAATAGAATTATACATAAACAGTAAAAGTTACCAATTTTCCTCGATCATGTGAATTACTTTAATAATCGTTTCACTTCAACAAATAAGCAAAATAAAAATATATCCAATACTGCACTGTAATAATGAAATAAAAACATACTAGTGAAATATAAAACAAACACAACAATTTCCACAAATTAATGGATAAAGAAACACTTAAAAACATTTTATATTGTATGTATAATGGATACCTGTCAGCTAATTGCATTTCAATATCTACACCATCTTCTTTAAAATCTTGCAATTCAGAATCATTTATAGTGTCTTCTGCATCAGAAAAAGTCAACACACTGTCACTTTGACCTGAAATATAAAATGAATTGATAGTATCATCATAAGGATTCCACAAGTATATCTGTCTAGTATAACACCATGATTCTTTGTTAAACCATCCTCAACCCTGCTTGCTTTAAAGTAATTAATTGTTGAAATTAATGATTGTGTTGTCACAAATTATATGCGAGAAAGTGGCAGGCAAGCTAGCGATTTACCTGATGTTAAGTGATAATCGTCGCCTATGGACATCAGCAACACCCATAGGGTTGCAGATGCTTAATGATTTTATTAAAAAAAAGGGGCCCCGGTTACCTCACTCACTAGACGAAATGTCTCCAATAAGGTTGTGATACTTCCCCAGATGAGCCTGCCCATTTAAAAATAAAAACTAAAGTAACGGCTTATTTATGTCCCATTGCTGGGACTTCACAGAAGAGGCCTTTGCCCAGCATAGTCCAAATATGCGACCCTATGAATTTTTTTCTTATTATTTCAAAAATATACAGATTTCCTCACAATGTTTTCTTTCAACCCTTAGCATGTGATAAGTCACCACTTAAAACTAACAATTTTAGTGGTGTCAGCACCAGTGAGAGAACTCAGATTTATCAATTATATTAAAGTTTTCGTGCTATATATTAAAATATTAAAAGCTATCAAGGCTTCCCACTCTCCACAACACAGGCCATTAATGCAACAGCAAAGGCTGACAATAACCTCGTATCTCTTGAGAAACTATCATTTGTAAGTTATATTTAAAGGACAGTTTATAAAATTTAGGATAAATTAATTAAAAAGGTTTTTTGGCATTCATACTTTTAAGTTTATACCATAAAATAATTTCCACCAATGACATCCTGTTGTCAAACTAGGATGGTGCAATAATAATACAGGGCATGTTTTATTTCCTATGTTCTCAATACCCATGAAGACTATTGTCATTACAATTATATATCAAATATAATTTGTATTGAAGCCCCATTCCAGGATTCATTTTTGATAATTGTTTAATTAGCCACCCACACTTAGTTGAAAGTTTGACCTCAGATATGAACTATTTCACATTTAATTTATTGAAATTAGACCTATTGATTTTTTCATAAAAACTCAACTTACTTTTTGGTAAGGGCTGTACAGTTTGGTCTGGTAGGAGTTGATACTGTTTGAGAAGTTGCCAATGGACCATCAGGGACTTAGCAGTTCGCGATGGATAAAACACATGTGGATTCTGTTCTAGTAGCTCTTGAAACTTCTCAGGAGCAGGGTGTGTATTCTGGAACACAATAGTCAAAAATTAATCATAAATCACTAATACAATTTTCTATTAGGTACTTATTTAATTGTTAATAAAGTATTAAATTTTTTGGTAACAGTAAAGAATCTGATAAATATTTGGAGCCCTTGCCATTTCACAATCATCATCATCTTCATCACTTCAGCCTCATTCAGACTATAAAGTTTTTTATTATTAACACATAAGAAAGGAACATACACTAGGTAAAGTTCCAAGCAATTCTTCCTCTGCTGTAGAATACAATGCCTGTTGCTGCACAGCCGCAACAAGGTCAGGATGTAAGTTGCGCATAGCGGCAATAGCAACTCTGGATATTTCGGCATTATACAACAATGCATACCAACGGGATTGGAGTTCACCCACAGTAAAACGGCATGAGAATTTAACTCCACGATGAACAATACGTAAGTCATTTGTCTGAAAAAAAAATGAAAACGTGATGAGCTCGCACTATTATTCATACAAATTCTTTCAGTGGGCTATGTTTAAAATCATCCATAATAGTCGTATGCAAAGCAATAACCCTAAATTGGACAGAGTTGTATCCTATTAAGTTTTAAATGTGACAGCTTATTATTTTTTAATTGAAGCCTCTAACAACTATGTCGATGAAATACAATACAAAAATAGCTCACTTGTTGTACTCCTAATATAAGTGCGAGGTCATCGGTAGGTTTCCATCGACCCAAATCTTTGGTAGATAACTGACTCAATTGTCCTTTGCGACGAGACTTTCGCCCCAAACTTCCACCACCTGACACTTTACTTGAGACCCTTCGACGCTCCTGAGATGGCTGTATCGGAGTAACTGATGTATTGACCGCTCCGGCAAAGTCTGACATTTGACTGGTATAGGATTGGGTGCGCATTCTTTTATCACTTTTACCAAAGGATGCACCAGGCAAACCCAAACTATATTCAACGAGCTCATCGTCAAATCGACGCCGCTTTATTGATCTTGAAGAACTAAAAGAATAGCGTTTTGATTTTATTTATGATCACAAATTTAAATGAAATTGATTTAATCACTATAAATATACAAAGACCTTCGTCTTTTGTTATTATCTTGAGTCATATCAAAAGTAGAGGGTGTGGCGCCGGGATAATCATTACTATCTGATGCATTGGACGGAGTAGCCGGAAAATCCATTTTTATGTTAAAAATTTGAGCCAACTGATAATAAAGTTTAATAAAACCACTAAAATCTGTCAAGTCAGGGGATCCAGGATTGTCAATGTTTTTGACTTTTGTTGATAATTTTCATTTTAGGCAGGGGCAATAAATATCGATATATAGAAATATATCTATATTTTTCTATACAATTATCGAAATACATTATCGCAACTTTATCTTTAAAAAATCTTTTCAACTATTTTCTTCATGTCTATTCTTTTTTTACGAATTTTGAATGTTAATGGAATAATCATGCGAATTTCGCATGATTATTCATTCATTTTTATAAAGCTCTACCCGAATCAATAACGATTGTGTCGGTTACTTATAATGATACTGGCCAATAAGTCTATTTCTAACATCAGAAGTGGGATTGAAAACTTGCGTGTCTTAGCCCATTCAGTCTGGCGAAACTAGGAACAAAAAATTTTTCTATGGACTTCACGTGGCAAATAATGGTGGATATTGCTATCACACTCTCTCAATGCGGTTTCTCTTTCTTGAAATACTAGAAGTGCCATGTTGTTTGTGAAAACTCCATTTCGCACCGCGTCTTTTGAATGTAAATGCTCATTGCAATGTAGATTTAAATTGTTTAGAGTAAAATTTCTCACGAAAAGTAGTGACAGGTGATCAGAGTTGTACTTTTAATCCAAAATGCTTAAAAGACGGTTTATTACCTGTGAAATTTGTGAAAATCGAGCAAGTCGTTCGAATCTTGAAAAAAGGATGTTTATGGCGAGATTTCCCTTAGATGAAGCCCGATAAGCACTTAATTATTATACTTTGCAGCCATATGTAAGTAGAGCAGGCTAAGAACAAATAATATTAACAAAATCATCTTATTTAAATTGTGTGCTAGTGACGGCTGAAACAGTAATAGCCACATATCGATAACTACGTTAATATTTATCATTGAAAAAATAAGAAATAAAATGTTGCGTGAAAGAGTAGGGGCACAAAGTTTTACATATTTGAATGGTGTGCCTACATAAATGAGCAAGGATCGGAATAGGTGAATTTTGCATGATTTTGAAACATAATCTCTATAATATTGATACGCCATGTAAATAATTTCGTGTGCTGAATTTGCAAGAAAACTAAAATAATTTTTGGATTTTGATTCTATTTTCATGTTGCAATTATTTCCAGACTCGTGTACAGCAGGAAAACAGCTGTTGGCTGAAGAATCAAAAGACAAGAAAGAAATTTCATTTCAGTAATAAAATTTTAATTGAATTAACAGAAACCGTTTTTTATCTTATTTCGGGTCCACATTTAAGTCCAATCTTGTATTAGTACTAAATATCACCTCATCAACATTGGAAAAGAAAACGGACTCGATACTTACTTAAAATTAATAAAAAAATATTAAATGGAAACCTCGGTTTCTACCTAGTATATTTTATAAATATCGATAAAAAGCTAAGCTAGCTTGGTTAAGCACTATTTGGCTCGTTACGTTGGTACTCCTATTGTTTGACATTCTTGTGGTATGGTTGGTATTGGAGTGCCGCGTAAACTGATCTTGTATCTTGTATTAACTGATGTTTTTGGTTTCAGTCCCGAGACTTCATCGGACGCAGAACCGGTGGGCTATCCAGAACCCACGGGTTTGGACCCTCCGCTATGGGTAGGGCCGCGCATGTGCTCATGCGTGCGTTTAACTATGGTGTGTCATCTAAGGGCCGTCGAGATCGCGGTTCGGACCGAAACCCCGATGGCCGTCGACTGTGCATTTACCATTTAGCTAATCGATGGCTGGGAGCGGTGAGAACCGCCCTGTAACGCGGGTGTACCTTATGTACACGTTGTGTGGGTCTCGCCGTGCTCGGAGGCGAGGGCGAACTAGTGTGATTGTTGTTACACTAACTGTAGGTGTAGTGTTATCCGGCGGGACCCCCGGCGGTGGGTCCAACGTATTGGCGTAAACTGATATTTTCTGCTAGTATGGAAGGCCCGTCTCTTAAACGTAGTGGTTATATTCTCTTTGAGCCCATTCATCGTGATATGAAGTGTTTTTGGCTGTTCAAACATATTTTTTTCTTTGGGTGCCTACCCTCGTAAAAGGAATGGTGATAAAATGTTTTGGTTAAGTGTAACGACAGTTTTGGTGAGTACGTTCCTTAATATGGAAACTGAATATTTGAGTTGCTTTATAAGTTAAGGTCAGGTTAGAGCGAGCGTTTATAAAATAGACGCGTTAGTGTAAGCACTGTTTAATTTGTTTGCTGATATACTAGCTTTTCCCTATTCTTCAGCTAGATTATGTACTAGCCTAGCGTTTTTATTGACCTTGAATAAGGAAATTGTTGTGTGTTAAGTGGAAGAGACCCGCGTAAATCCTAAGTGCGCATGGTATTGCGTTGACCTTGAAACTGTTGGGAAGGTATCGGGGTGAGCTAGTAGCGCCGCTGGCAACAGACCTGTTTAAATCCGACCCTTAACTATAGGTATCTGGGGTGACCGACAAGAGACTGGTGTAAATCCTGTATGCGTGGTATTCGGTTGCGTTGGAACAGACCTGTGAAAAGCCTATGTGACTTGAACCTTTGTGTATAGGTATCTGGGGTGACCTACAAGAGACTGATGTAAATCCTGTTTGCGCACGCTTGTACGGGGTATTCGGTTACGTTGGAACAGACCTGTGTAAAGCCTATGTGACTTTAACCTTTGTGTATAGGTATCTGGTGTGACCTACAAGAGACTGATGTAAATCCTGTTTGCGCACGCTTGTGCGGGGTATTCTGTTGCGTTGGAACAGACCTGTGCAAAGCCTATGTGACTTGAAAGCTTTTGTATGACGTTGAATGTTTGTCTAAATTGGTCCATAATATGACACTTATATACACTTACTGTATTTATAAAACCGCTGGTGAATGTAACCGGTTATGTTTTCTTAAAATGCGTGTATTTTCATAGAGAACAAAGAGGACCAAGATACGCTACACACGGAGGGAGTTGCCGGTCCGTCCTTGAGGTGCTGCTAAAGGCTTCGAAGACGTAGTCCCGTCAGGAGTAGCCGTGTTATAAATAAATTGAAACATCGAATGGCAACACTGCAACGGACTATAAAACGAGCAGTGCTCATCGTGTTCGTACACCGTACAGTCTGTCGTCAGCCTCTGTTGTGTGCGGAAGCTCTACCCGAATCAATAACGATTGTGTCGGTTACTTAGAATTATACTGGCCAATAACTTCTTTTTAAAAAATCAGTTATCGTTTCTATTTCTAACATTATTTATAAATCTGTTATAATTTTAAAGGTTATCAACGCATTTTCAAGCCCTTGGGTGTTGTAGATGTCCATGGGCGGTGGTGATCACTCAACATCAGGTGGACCATCTGCTTGCTTGACAACTTATCACATAACAAAAAGAAAAAGGTATGTGTGTATTTATGTACACACGTAAGAAGTTATACTTCTTTAGCTTAAAGTCAATTGATAACGGTTTGTGTAAATAATTTGGAATTATTGCTAAACGTCAAAACCTGATATTGGTTGCGAAGCTACCATCTTCACGGTATTACCATGGCAAACAAAGTATGTCCCACTATGTACCTTTTTAGGGGTCGTTGTGCGAGTGCATCGTTAAAATGTACTCTCATATTTTTTAACAAACGAGCCAAAAGAAGTATAGTGTCAAAAAAAATTTTGCTAATAGCCCCGCAGCTACAACGACTTCGCCGGAAGAGTTCCGTTCGTAAACGATTCGCAGACTTAGGACTCGGCAGAACCAACGTAGCTGGTGCATGATGACGACATGATCCAAAAGCCTCTCAAGTGGAGGTGCGAACCTCGGCTTGGACCATCACCGACTGATAACGGAATCATTACACCTACTATGTAACAATAACAACACGAATAAGCAATTCAAAAGCAGTCTGATCGCCAAGGTCCGTGTGAACGACCTCGCACTCAACGTTGATTAGGTTGCGCGATGTATATGGTTGTTAATGTATTGGGAGACATTCTAGACCCGGTGAGACATTTTTTTTTTACGTGGGAAAAATCCTTTATGGATCCCCCGCTGCCTTGTGGGTAGGCAGCAGGGGTATGTGGGAGTTACACGTACCCACTAAAAAACCCACGTTGCACCTGCGCTATCGCTTTGCCGGGGACACGGGAACACGAGAACGAAATCTTCCGCGAACCCCGGCGCGACTGTGGCTTTCTCAGGCCTCCTCAGCCCGGGTCCTTAGACACCCGATCCAGCCAAATGGTGCCGTGTCGGTGCAATGAACACGGCACCCCTCTCAAGCCCTCCGCGGGGCAGCAGTTAGTCCCACATCTGCCGCCCCGGGGCTTGCTATCAGGGGGGAAGGTTGTGCACGTAGGCCAGCCTCCTGCGCCCTGGTCACCGGCGGCGGATTTCCAGGGTGGCAGTTGCCTCCCTTTCTCTCTCCGCGGCCTCCTTCCGGGTGATCATGTCCTCGCAGAATGCAAGGACGGCACCCCACGACCTCTCGCTGTCGACCATAGCGCGGACCACGGCAGGTAGCGAGAGATCGTGCCCCACGATAGCCATCAGCTCTCGGCGCTGCTCCCGCCAGGCTGGGCACTCCTCCAGTGCGTGTTGGGCCGTCTCCTCGGCACATACGTCGCAGTGGTGGCAAACCGCTGTTGGCTCCCTCCCCGCCAAGCGGCACAGGTACCTCCCAAAACAGTAATGTCCCGAGACAACCTGCGTCACCCGGTAGGTGAGGATGCCGTGACGCCTGTCCAGCCACCGACTGAATACCGGACGTATGGCCTCAATGGTTCTTAGGCCGGCACTGGGGTGATCCAGCCTCTGCTTCCACTCGGCGATGGCGAGTGAGCGCAGCCTTAGTCTACACCCCTTCAACTCCTCTAAGGCTGGCAGGTGACCCCGGGCTATTGCCTCCTCGCGCCAGAAGTGCAATGACGCGAGGATACTGGCTTCTAGGTCCCAGGGAATGGAACCAGCCAACGCGCACGCCGCCTCACCGGAAAT